TGTGATAAGGTAAGCCCGGAATCGGGGGGCAGAATTCCAAAAAATCAAATTGCTTTCCTCCTACCCGGGGAATCTTCTCTTTTTACTGGGGAACGGTTCCGGGCCACCCGGAGAACGACGTGTCCACGAACACAAGGAGGTATCTGTATCCCCCCCTTACCCCCCCCCGCGCCGAGGGAAGTTCGGTGAAGTCTACCTCCCAGTGTTCACCTGGGGCACTGCCCCTGAGCCGGGTCCTCGGTCCTCTCACTGGGACTGGGTTGGGGTTGACTAAAGCGCAGGCACGACATCTCTTGGCTATATCTCGGGTTAACTGGTCTAGTCCTTTAACCAGGTACTTCTTCCTTAGGAGCTCAGCTAACTTGACTCCACCTAGGTGTGTGGCTCGATGCGTCTGCTCCGCCACCTGTCTCCCTAGTGCCTGGGGGCAGGATGATTCTTCCATCGGCTAGCTGGAGCCACCCGCCTGAGTTCCTTGTTCCTTGTAGTTGCTGTCCCCACTCTTCTTCTTCCTCAGAGTAGTGAGGACTTGGGTCGGCTGTCTGAGCTGCTAAGACCTCAATGGGCCGAACAGCCCCTTTCGCTGCTTCCTTGGCGGCCTGGTCCGCTAACCGGTTTCCTTTTGCTATGTCTGAATCTCCTTTCTGATGTCCCTTGCAGTGAATGACTGCCACTTTCTCGGGGCCCCATATGGAGGAGAGGAGATTTAAGATCTTTTTTGAGTTCTTGATGTCCTTCCCCCCGGCTGTGAGTAAGCCCCGCTCCTGGTACAAGGCGCCATGCACGTGGACAGTAGCGAAGGCATATCTGCTGTCGCTGTAGATATTAACCTTCTTTCCCTTGCTCCACCTGAGGGCCTGGGTTAGTGCGATCAGCTCGGCCTTCTGTGCCGAAGTGCCGTGTCCCAAAGCCTGTGCCCAGATAACAGACTCTAAGGTTACTACTGCAGCTCCAGCGTACCGGATACCTTCTTCTATAAAGCTGCTCCCATCCGTGAAGAGGGTAGCGTCCGCCTCGGGGATGGGGGTGTCTCTGAGATCTGCTCTCAACGAGGTCAGAGAGGTGAGGATTTCACTGC